AAGACACAATGGAACTAGTTCTTCTATCTCGTTCAAGTAGTTTCAGGAGTGCACACTCAAATCTCACATAAATTGCTTGCAAAATCGCCTTGCTCTTTTGCACTCAATTTAGTTTAACTTTTGCGTTTGTGCAATACATGTAAAAGAGAACAACTACTGTCATTTAATAGGTTAGTAATCAGAGTTTGATTGAGACTCAATTGCTGATCTTCTATCGTAGTTGAGTCCTTGAAGATCTCAAAATCCAACACTATCTTTATCCTGGATTGTGTTATCTTAATATAAGGAGACTTTCTCACCTTATCCAATATGCAACCTTTTCGAACAGATCAGGAGATATTGCTGCTTGATCAGTAGGACTTATCTCCTTCACATGTATAGGTTGATCATGACTGTGCTTCACAAGATGGACCTAGTCCATGATTGAGTTCATTTGTCATTCTTCAAAACTTCACCTATTCTTTGGCCAACAAATTCCCCCTTTTGGATGATGACAAACTCTGTGCTTTTTATTGATTTGGAACCTGTAAGAACTCAGCTTAACCTCAACACTAAACTTAGAAAATTCAGTTATCATCAAGGACCAGGTTAATTAGGTTATAAATATCACTTATTTCAGAATGTGTAAAGCACAATATCTCTTTCCCCTTCTGGCATCATCGAAAAGTTGCATACAAAATGTGAATCCCAAATTTTAATAAGTACTCATGGCCACTGGGGCAACTGCAAGTGCAATCATGGTGCAATCATTAGTAATCAAACAAATATATTTAAACTATCAAGGACAAATTAATCATTGAACAAGAGAAAGACAACAATTGTCATTGATAGAGATATGTTGCCATCAACAATCCACAAAGAGAAAGAAAAACATTCAAACCATGAGCAAAAAGCAGAAAAATCCCTAATCTGGGTCACTGGGGGTACTAAACAAGTTCAGGGACAAAAGCTAGGAGTCATAAGGCTTGAAGGAACTGGAGGGTTGGGGTTGAGTTTGGAGAAGATTCAGCATGTTCTGAAGAATTCCATCATTCTTCTCCTTTCCTTTGGAAAGCTCAGTTCTGAGACCATCCCTCTCAGTTTCCACTTCAACCACACGAGCCTTGAGCCTAGCAATTTCAGCATCCTTAGCTGCACATTTCTGAACAAGAGTCCTAACTTGCTATTGATGGGTGTCATTAGAGATGAACCAGATTCAATTGGGATGGCATTGACTGGATAGTCACATGTAAGAAGAGTTTTGATGCCAAAGTGTTCCTTGCTAAAGTCCATTTCTCATTTCTTCAGAGGCACATTTAGCCTATCCAGAACTGTGGTTAGTATGAAGCCATATGGAGTAGCATGAGCCTTGGAGCCATTTATGACCCTGTCTAGCAGTTTGATAATGAAGGCAGGCCAGTTGATTTGCTTTCCTCTTTCCAGGCACTCCATAAGAACCAGATCCATGTAGTTAGTAGTGTGCCTTCTCTCCTATCTGGGCAATAAGCACTTGTTGACAAATTCAAACACAACCTTGTGCTGAGACCTCGTCTCACTTTTCTGCACAGCCCTGGCTTCATTCACCTTTTCTGAATCACAAAACCTCTTGGTGATTTCAAGGGCAGTAGGGAGAGAGTCCAGGCATGTCCACCTTTGCCTTGTATAGTCATCAAACCCTTCAGAGGGTATGTCCAGGATCTCTCCCAGTTTCTCTGCATCAAACTGCACTTGGACTCCTTTCACCAGGCTACTACCAACTCCATCCTTAATAGCAACATTGGCCATAAATTCAAAAACTTTTGATTATTTGGTTTTCACTGCAGATTTTGTCCTCTTGGATAGTGTGGGTTCAACAGCTACTGGCATAGAGGAAGACTTCTTGGAGGGAGTCTTGGGATTTTTAGGCTTGGGTGTAGGAACCTCCACTGTTGTACCCCTTTCTTGATGGACTAGTTCCATCTCCTTTTCCTTAATAGCCTTTGAGGATTATGCAATCTTTCCCTTTCCCTTATCCATTTTCGTTTTCTTACTTTCTTCTAAGGCCTTTTATAGATCAGCTTCACTCTGTTTTACCCTGCTTCTTGTGGCTCTACCCCTAGGCACTGAAGAGGCAGTATGTGTTAAGGATGAAGCTTTTCTTTTCCTGGAAGGCTTGGGAACATTTTAGGCTTTTGTTGTGGGAGTTCTGCATTTCTTTGGGTTATAGCTTTCCCCAACCTTTTTCAGTATATCAGCTAGGGTCTCTTCAGTAGATAAAACAGGTTCATCTCTCTGTTTGCTCAGATGAACCAACCCCTCAGCAGCTTCCTCAGAACCACTTCCCCCCGACTTCAGGCCACTTGCTTCTACCTTTTCATGTTCAACCCCATAAATAGCAGGTACTACACTATTCCCAATTCCCATCTCTTCACCACATGCGCCCTTTTTCTTTTTTTCTTTTTCATATTTTTTTTTACCTCAACTCCTACGTTTCTCAGGCAATTCAACATCCCTAATTGGTCCAACCAGAAATATTAGTCTCTAAGTTTTCAATCACAGCTGAACTTACCTCAGTAGGAGATTCTTGAGTCTTCTCAGAGTCAGAAGACCCATGTCCTTCCCCTTCAGTCGCGGATTGATAGGATTCAGACTCAGAGCTGGAGTCGGAATTTGGAGCTTGGCTTTCATTCATTTGGCTTGCTTTCAACCTTTCATTTGAAGCCTTCCTTAGAGACCCAGATGCTACAGTCTTTAGAGCAAGCATTTTCACCCTTCGTAGTCTAGGTTTTGGAGATACACTGGGTGGAATAGATGAGGATGAATTTGATGAAGATGGTGGTGGAGGAGTTTCAGGATTTTCTTGTGGGTTAGACATGATTGATTTCTTGAAATAATTTGGGAATTTTGGAGAAGAGGGCAGGTAATAGTGAAGACAAGTTTTTGACGGTTTGGAGCTATGATGAAGGCTGTAGAATTGATGTGTATTTAAAGGGAATTACACATTTAATAAGTAACGACAACCTTTTGCAGTGGTCAAATATGAGTCTAATTAACCTGAAATTTCATAATTTGAATGATCTATTTGGCTTTCCTAGATATTAGGCAAAAATTACGGCTTAGAGTTCTAGGTGTACGGAACTGGTTCAATGCTAACAGATAGAATTTTCTAGGAATTTGACCCGTAATCGGACCGACCGGTTAAAACCAGAACCGGACCGGACCGGTGCATAGGGGGCGGGTGGGGCTGGGTAGGAGGGGTTGGTCTGTTTATTTTTTTGTAATGGTTAACCGAACTGATCAAATCCGGTCCACGCGAATAGTACCGTGTACCGGTTTAACCGCCCTGGATCGGACCGGTACAATGACTATTCTTTGAAATCAATGGGGCCCACTAACCGTTGGCAACGGTCATCCCTGGCAGGGATCCGTTACTTAACACCCTTAATTGCATTAATAGTCTCTTTTTTCCTTAAAATTTAACCTTTTTTCAATTTACAAAATTAACATTCTCTAAAACTATAAATACCTCTCCTCCTCTTCCTCATTTATGCACTCATCTCTCAATTCTCATTTCTCAATCTCAATTTTCAAATCTCAATTCAAGTTAAATCATGCCCCGTACTTCTAGAGTGCGCTCATATGTTTGGCAACACTTTGAGGTGGTAGAAGAAAATGAAGAAGGTCAGAAAGTAAAGTGCAAGAACTGTGGTCAAGTTTTAAATCTTCGTTCAGGGTCTGACACATGCAGTTTAAGGAGGCATATAAAGTATTGTCTTGAGCGTCCTCCGAAAATTCGTATTTAAGATTTTAAGATAATTTGTGTTATTTTAAAATTATTAGACGTATTTATGCTTAATGTTTTAGTTTGTTAGATTAATATGAAGTATTATTAATTTATTATGCATGAAAATTTGGTGCAATTTTTTTCCATCTTCCTTGTATTATTCAAATTAATACAAAGTATTAATATAACTTACAATAATTATACAAAATACCAAAAAAAAAAAATTAAAAAATACACTAAAACCGGTCCGGCCCCCAACCCGTAACCGGATGAACCCGGACCCGTTAAACCCGTTAAGCCCCAACCCGTAACCGGTCCGGACCATAACCCGTACGGGTCAAAAAAATCCCAACCCAGCCCGGCCCGGCTCACCCGTTTAACACCCTTAGTTCTAACCCATTATATCCGTGAAAATGGCATGAGCGAGCCAGTTTTCGAACTGATAATTGAAAAATAACCAGCTTTTATAAGTCATTAAAAAATGATCATTATTTTGCTGAAACACGAAAAGTCCCAGCATAATATGCTGTATTATGGAGCTCCTGCATATAAACTTCCAGCATATTATGTTGGAACTACAACACATTATGAAATTCCAGCACATTATGCTGGTTTTTATATGTATAAAATTCGTACTCCAGCATATTGTGTCAGATATTTTTCAGATTTTAAGAGTATTTTTGTTCAAATTTTATCTTTACATAAAAAAGTTAATAAATTTTGATTATTTTTGAAACCGTGACTATTTTTCAATACTATTTCTGATTTTCCCCCCGTTATATCCTTTAATACAAAAATAGTACAATTTTTTTTAAAAAAACTCCAACTTCACTCCCTCCAAACCGTCCCCCCTCTCTTTTGGCGGGAAAATCCCTTTCTCAGTTCCTAACATTTTTGCCCTCTTTCTTCAATCTTCTCCGATGACCTAAAAGCCTAGTTAGTGTCATCTGTATTCTGTAATAGCACAACTCAGCTCAATCGAAACATAAAATGGCTCCAAAAAAAAGAACAAGTTCAGGATCAACAAAGAAATCAAGCCACCAAAACCTGAACCTTCAGCATCAGCAGCAATCTCAGCCTTCCAAATTCGGGATCCAGCATTTCTTTGAACGCCACACCCAAAATGTCCTCTCTCAGAAATCCAAACCCCTCCTCGTTCCCCACAACTCCAATTCCAACTCATTTCAAAACCCTAAAGAAAATTCCAGTGTATCAGTACCAGAAACTTCTACAAATAATGGATTGAATTCGNTGATTGAATTCGGAAAAGCGTGACAAGGATAATGCGGTGTCTCGAGATAAAGGTTGTAGAAATGTGAATAAATCGGATCATATTGATGTAACGGAGAGATTTATGGATAAGGGAGTTGCGGATGGTAAAAATAAGGAAAAAAGAGTGACTTCGAAAAAGAATGAATTGGGTGGTCCGTCTCAGAGTACACCTACGGAGAATGTGGTAACTGCAGGTTCAGGGGAGGATAAAAATCAAGCAGAAATAACGCCTGAATTTTGCAAGTCAGTGTCTGTGAAGCGCTTCAAGTTTTCTCCAGGAATGGTAATTATCTTTATTTTCTGATGGTTGGTTTCTAGTTATTGTTTACTTTTTTATTGTTGAGTAACATCATCAGTGAGGATTCATATTAGCCAACACCAACTTGTTTGTGATTGAGGCACATTAACTGTTAGTTGCATCAGTGAAATTTACTTGGATGGAGCTAATTTCAAGTTTCAACGTGTGTATATGAATGAAGGTCTTCTTGCTTTATTAAATACTAGTGCAAGATTGCAACTTTTTAGGCTCATTCTACAAGAAATCGTGCTATGAGGGATCGGGGCATGGGTAGGAGGAAATTAATGAGTAAACTCATTGATGTAACATCATGCCAAAGACTTTTAAGCAACGTGGCTTTTTGTGTCACTGAAGTTAAAGTAGCATTTGTCGATCTTTCACTGGACAGCTGGGGAGTTTGGGGGCCCAACCTCAGAGACCTGTCTAAAATTTCTATAGACATTGCATGGATGTCCACCTTTTAGAATTTTAAAGACATGTCGATGGTCTTCTTTGACCCCAGCAACCTCTTCTATCTTGCAAGGAGGATTTTGAATCCATCAGCTGTTTAATAAACTTGACACATCTTTTAGTCTATAGGTTTAAATGCTTAGACTGTTACATTCATGGTTAAGAAAGCATGAAAAAGAATTAGATCTAACTGATTCAAAAGTTGTCCAAGCTTGCTTGTCAGTTACACATGATCTAATATATATGCTGTTGTTTGTTAGCTGATCAAGCAAAGCCAGGATGATGGAGGTGATGAAGTAACATGGAGAATATCTCCAGTGAATGAACGACTTCATGCCGTGTCCAAACAGTTACCAGAGATGGTAAAGGTGTTGGCGGATTCATCACGCTTCAACTCCTTAAGTATTCAAGAATGTTCGCTGAAAAAGGTACATTAACATATGTACAATTATGCTGTGCCATTTTTTTTGTTATAGATCATTGTAATACTATAAGACTAATGATTACTACAGACGTCTCCTGGGACAGAAAGAAAGTTTGAGAAGCGACTTTGTTCACCTCCACTGAAGGCGCTTGATAAATCATTAGTAAGCTCAAATAGGGCTAGCTTGAGAAACAGAAACAACGATCATGTAATGGATCTGTGGGAAACCAATGGAAACTTTAACTGCCAGAGCAAAACTGAAGTAACTAACAGTCAGAGTCCTTTTCAAACTCCACCATCTTTGACATACGGCAGTGATAAGGTAGTATCTGCATCGTCATACTAGTAAACATCTGTCACATTTCGTGTAGAAATGTTTCTGATGATTTCTGGCAATTAATGCAGCCTGCCAATGCGGTCAATAATAATGAAGTTACTGATCAGCTTGGTTCAAGGCAACACAAAAAGGTCTTTGACTGCTCT